CATATGATGGCAATCAACCTCATCCCCATAACATAGATAGGGCCAAGGACACCATAAACTACATGTCAACTACAAACTTTTTTAAATGAAAAAGCAGACACTACAAACTCTTCTAATAAAAAAGTGCACACTACAAACTTTTGTAGTCTCAAAAAGCGGACACTACAAACTTTTCTAATGAAAAAGCACAACACTACAACTTTTTTAATGAAAAAGCGCAACACTACAACTTTTGTAGTCTCAAAAAGCGGACACTACAAACTTTGTAGTCAAGATAACCTTTTGACTCTAACCCTAACTATGTAGTCTAAGTCCATGCTTTTGTAGTCTAAGTTTGACTTTTGTAGTCTTTTGTAGTGTATTAGTAAACTTTGTAGTCTAATTTCGACTTTTGTAGTCTTTTATAGTGTATCAGTAAACTTGGTAGTCTATATCTGATTCTTATAAGTAGTATGGGATGCACCTTCCTTTTTTGGTCATTTTTCCCATGATACAATAATTGTAGCCCTTTCTTTTAGCATTCTGAATATACTGGAATCACATTATTTATTTTTGTTTTCATAGAGAAAAACACAAAAAAAAAAAAAAAACACAAGGCTTTTGAAATTCCTTTACCTCATATCTCCACAACGGGAGCACTTCAGAACATAATTCAAACAGATTCGGGAAGCTACAGTGTAGGGCTACAACTTTCGTTTTTTGACCATTTTTGGTAATTGGTCATGTGACCACCCTCCAGGGAAGCCCATTGCATGGACCCTGACATGTGGGATACATTTGAAAAATCACAATGAAATGCCCAGGGCTACATTTGAAATTTTGCAATGAAATACCCAGGGTATCTATTGAAAAATCACAATGAAATACCCAGGGATACATTTGAAAAATCACAATGAAATGCCCAGGGCTACATTTGAAATTTTGCAATGAAATACCCAGGGTATCTATTGAAAAATCACAATGAAATACCCAGGGATACATTTGAAAAATCGCAATGAAATGCCCAGGGCTACATTGAAATTTTGCAATGAAATGCCC